AGTGGTTGCAAATCAATACTCACAAATTGGAATGCCTCTCAACCAAACTCCATCGATTAAGCTTGACAGGAACAATTACCTATTGTGGAAGAACATGATTATGCCTGTAATAAAAGGCCATAATCTCGAAGGTCATCTTCTTGGAACAAAAGAATGTCCACTAGAATTTCTAGCTACACAGACAAGTGTTGGTCAAGGAGAAGCAGTAGAAATGAATCAAAATCCTGAGTATAACAAATGGATCTTAGTCGATCAACTCTTGATGGTATGGTTGTACTCAGCCATGACCCTTGAAATAGCAATGATGGTTATGGGATGCTCGAGTTCCAACAAACTTTGGACTGCAGTTAAGGAGAGTTATGGTGTACTGAACAAATCCAGAATCGTTTTTCTCACTGGTGAACTGTAAAGAATTAGGAAAGGAAATATGTCAATGGATCAATACCTCACAACAATCAAGCAACTAGCAGATAATCTAGAAGTTGAAGGAAAAATTATTGATCAAAATGATCTGATAACTCAAGTGTTATTAGGTTTGGATGAAGAATACACACCCATAGTGGTGTAAATCAACAGCAGGGAAAGCATTTTTTGGCTTGAACTTTCATCAATCTTAATGACATTTGAAAGCCGGCTTGAGTACTTGAATTAAGTCAGGAACAACCTTACTTCTATGAGCATTAACCAATCGAGTGTACAATCAACCCAAAGGATAAGTTCAGGTGGTGCCAGAACGTTTGGAGGTTTCAGCAGTAGTAGAGAACGCATTTTAGAGGGAGAACCAAAGGTAGAGGAAAAACTGGAAGGCAAGGAGAAAGCAGAGGACCTTGTCAAATTTGTGGCCTAAACAATCATTCTGCTAGCTGGTGCTTCAAAAGATATGATGAGAGATATATGGGGAGCAGGCCAAGAAGCCAAGTTTCCCAAAACACAACACTATCAGCATACGTTGCCTCGCCAACGGTGCTTGAAGATCCAGCCTGGTTTGTGGACTCAGGTGCAAGGAACCACGTGATAGCCAACAAAGACAACCTGCAAAATGTGAAAAGATATGAAGGTAATGAAAAACTTACAGTTGGTGATGGAAATTCATTGCATATCACTTATACTAGAAATGGAAAAATTCCTACAATGGATATGAGACCCCTCACTTAACATAAGTTACTGCATGTACCATCCATTAAAAAGAACTTGATTAGTATCTCTCAACTCACCAGAGATAATAAAGTATTTATGGAATTCTATTCTAACTCTTATGCTGCCAAGGATTTGGAAACGAGGAAGACTTTGCTGCTAGGGATGCTTAAAGATGGATTGTATCAATTGGTGGTGCCAAACTCCAAGTCAAGAACCAATGTCATAGAGTCTAACCCTCACAATGATCACAACTGCCTCACAGTGAGCCATAGTTGTGATGAGTCAGCCTACAATGTTAAAACCTCTGAGTTAGAGCTTGATACCTGACATTGGAAGTTAGGTCATCCTTCTAATCGTTTAAGGACCAACTCCTCTTAATTCTACCACTGGATTCAAATATTACATACTCTTTGTTGATGACTATAGTAGGTTCACTTGGATTTATCCTATGAAACTTAAATCTGAAGCGTTAAATATCTTCATTCGGTTCAAAACATTAGCTGAAAATAAACTAGAAAAGAAGATCAAATGCTACAATCAGACTGGGAAGGGGGGGGGGGGTAGGAGAGAATTCAAGAATTTCAGCAAACTTGCCTCAGATTTTGGAATAGAACTCAAACACTCATGTCCCTATACATTCGTTCAAAATGGGAGAGCTAAGAGAAAGCATAGACATGTCACTGAAACCGGGTTAACACTCCTAGCTCAAGCCCAAATGCCACTCTACTACTGGTGGGAATCTTTCTAGATAGCAGCATTCTTGATTAATAGGCTCCATACTCCCTTACTTCAAAACAAATCACCATTTCAAATACTTTTTGAAAAAACCTTTGATTATAAAATACTGAAAACTATTGGTTGTGCATGCTATCCTTGCCTCAGACCCTATCAAAAACACAAATTTGATTTTCATTCCCAAAAATGTGTATTTCTTAGCTAAGGTGATTCACGCAAAGGATATAAGTGTTTGAGTCAAAGTGGTAGAATCTATGTTTCTAGACATGTTCTATTCAATGAACTTGATTTTCCCTTCAAAACAGGATTTATAAACAAACGAGTCAGCCCACAAAATTCTGAACTGGTCACAGGTTTCCTTCCATTTGTTATAGAGTCCACTTATAAGCCAACTCATCAGCCTACCCATGATACAAGCCTTCCTAATGCATCACCTACTGCAGGTCTCTCTGAAAATGAATTTGAAACTGAAAGTAGAGATGAAGAAGGTCTAAAAAACATAGATATTGAAACAAATCAGAGAGAGGTTGATGATTTGGATGTATCTGAAGTACAACCTGAAAGATATGATGCTAATGTGGAAAGAGATGAAACTAATACTCAGGTTACAGATGAGACTCAGAACAAAGGGCATCAGATGATCACAAGGAGCAAAGCTGGTATCTATAAACCTAAAGTTTACACAAATCAGACAGCAGTAAAGCCAGCAGAAACTGAACCATTCAATGTTGAAGAAGCCTTGACAAATAACTTGTAGAAAGAAGCTATGTAGGAAGAATATAATGCACTGATGAACAACAAAACATGGACCTTAGTGCCTAAGAAAACTGGTGCGAAAGTCATTGGCAACAAGTGGGTATTCAGATTGAAATATGAACCTAAAAGAAGAGTGCAAAGACACAAAGCAAGGCTGGTTGCAAAAGGTTTTCTTCAGACTCCTGGTATTAATTTGGGTGAAACATTTAGTCCCGTTATTAAGGTTTCCACTCTCAAGATTATTCTAACACTTTCAATACCCAAGGACTGGGAGATTAGGCAAGTAGATGTCAACAATGCATTTCTAAATGGAGAGTTATATGAAGTAGTCTTTATGAATCAACCTCAAGGTTTTGTAGACAAAAAGAAGCCTGATTTTGTGTGTAAATTTGAGTAGGCCCTATATGGGCTAAAGCAGGCCCCAAGTGCCTGGTACGAGAAGCTCAAAAACACTCTGCTCGAATGGAAGTTCGAGTAGTCCAAAGCTGACAATTCCATATTCTTTCTGGCTGACAAAGAAGAAATATTGTTTGTCTTGATTTATGTTGATGATATAGTGATTACATGGACCAATTCGCAGCAGGTGTCAGAGTTCATTGACAGACTCAACAAAAGCTTTGCACTCAAGGATATGGGAAAGCTTAGCCACTTTCTTAGAATAGAAGTCCACAGAGATGCAACTGGCCTATATCTAACTTAGATAAAATATGCCTCAGACTTGTTAAAAAGACTTAGGTATGAAAGTCTAAAACCAAGCCAAACACCTATGGCTGCTGGCAAACTGATTTATAAAGCTTAAGGCCAACCAATGAATGATCCAACCTTGTACAGAAGTGCCATAGGTGGACTTCAATATCTCCATCACACAAGACCAGACATAACCTTTTCAATTAACAGGTTGAGTCAATTTCTTCAAGCCCCGACTGATGCCCATTGGAATGCACTAAAGAGGGTATTCAGATACTTAAGAGGCACACTGAATCACGAACTAACCATTTGAAGGAATGACAACCTCAATATAAATACCTTTGCTGACTTAGACTAGGCATCATGTCCAGATGATAAACACTCAACAGCAGGCTACCGTGTTTACCTTGGAGAAAATCTGGTGTCTTGGTGCTAAAAAAAGCAGCATGTCATTGCAAGGTCAAGCACAAAAGTTGAGAATAGGGAATTAGCTCACAGTGCCGCTGAAATCTCCTAGATTCAATCTCTGCTGAATGAACTTGGATTATCCCAAAAATCAGCTCCAAATATCTGGTGTGATAATCTTAGTGCCAGTGCTCTTGCTTCAAATCATGTCTACCATGCACGAACTAAACACATTTGTGAGAGACAAAGTTCTAAAAGGAGAGCTAACAATACACTATGTGCCAACATCTGAACAAACAACTGATTCATTGACCAAGCCTCTCAACCATTCAAGATTCCTATTACTAAGAGACAAGTTTGGAGTTGTTGAGCACACTCCACCTTGAAGGGGGGAGTTAGAATCTGTTATGCAAACCAACAATCAAATAACAGAATTCTGGTGAAGGTGAATGCAATGTTTAATTATCTTCTTGCAATACAAATTATCTTAAAGTTCAACTTGAATAAACTTATATTTTCTCCCTTTAAATTCCCTTTATGCTCTCACTCTCTTCTCTTTCTCCTCTCTCTTTCTCTATATCTCTCAATCTCTTTCTTGTTTGAATTTTGATTGTGTCATGCATCAATAGTTCATACGACATGTACATATATAACTTAGATTAGTCCCCAAAGTTCAGGAAGATGGTGAGTAGGAGATCAATGTGTATAAACTAGCTTTCAAGTCTTCTTAAAATCAACAGGATCTCACGTTCTAACTTTCAGGGCCTTCGAAGACTACTGTGCGATGCATTCAGTATCGATCAACATCCAAAATAAATAAGATCTCACGTTCTAACTTTGGATGTTTGGTTTACGTTGTTCAAACAAGTGGGGTTAGAAATCAAATTATAAACAGCTTTTGCAATTAAAATGACAACAAATACCATTAAACAATAAAAAAAGGACCTCATAAGTTAGATAAAGAAGGTTTTAAACACCAAACATAATAGTATAAGATGTAATGCACCTGCATATAGTTCTTGGAGTTGCTCAAATGGATGGTAGCTTAAGGACCGCAGAGTATGAATCTCATGATCACTATTTAATTATCACAAAAAGAAAAGCCTCTGTCTCTGGTAATGTTTTTCGTTTCAGGTTGACAACGGAAGTCAATGTTCCTATCATATGTCTTGGACTTGACTCTGGCCTTTGGTCCTAACTGACTACAATTTGATTGACTGTGTTGATTCAGTCGCATGTTGCCCTGAATCAGCCTTCGCTTGCAACCAAGCCTGAAGCATTTAATCTATTTTTGGTTCTGTCAACAAATGTTTTTCCTTCATTTCTAAGTAATATTTATACGCCTCCTCCAATTTTCCATTCAAAAAGAGCCCATGTATCAGCATAATGTACGAGCTTTGATCAGGGTCAAGTTCGTTCTTGCTCATTTCAGTCCACAGCTTGAAGACATTGTCTAGCTGGCGCCAACGACAAAATTTCCTGATCAACATTATGTATGTATCATGACTCGGATGGCATTCCATATGCATCCTCTCGAGAAGCTGAAACACTTCTTCCCCAGTTCTTAAAATCCGAAAGAAAGCATGGTAAGTTCGAGTACTCCGGGAAAGGCGCCTCTCTATCATCTCATCAAAAACTTCTTTGGCTTCATCACACAGTCGTGCCTTACAAAGAGGCTTGATGAGCGAGTTATAAGTGATGGTGTCCGGATCAATTCCCTTCTCTTCCATTATTTTCACGAGACCGCGAGCTTCTTTCACAAGCCTCCCTTTTGCAAGAGCATGAATCACTGCATTGTAGACTTTCCTATCTGGTTCAATTTCCAGAGCCTTCATCTTGTCGAAATGCCTGAGAACCGCATTATGTTACAAACCCATTTTAATTAATCAAAGTCAATGGTTGAATTGTCAAGGTCAAGGTCATTAAGGACTTAATTGAAATAATTAATTTATTGGGGTTTATTTTATAATTGTTATAATGGAGGGTTTTAAATGGATATAATTTAAGGTTGAGGACTTACTTATTTAACATTGGAAGTTGAGGGACTTCCTTGCAAAAAGCCCACTATCTAGATAAATCCCAGAGAAAAATTCATAAATAAGGTGTTTAGTTTACACCAATTCAAAAATCATGTTTATAGTTTGAAAATTCAAAAATTAGGTTTTTTTTTTTCTTTTTTTAAATTCTAATATAATATAATATAATAAACCCACCCCACATGCACCACCCCCGCTTCGGTGACTATTCCGACGACCATTCCGACCATTACTCTTTTCCGGCGACCATTCCGACGACTGCTCCTATTCCGACGACCATTCCGACGACTATTCCGGCAATCATTCCGGCACAGATTTATAATTTAATTAGTTACATATTAATTTTCAGTCACAAATAATAATTTTTATACGTCACAAATTATTTTATGGTCACAATTCAAAAATTTTAGATGTTACATTTAATTCGTTGGTCATAGATTTCAAAATTAGTTGGTCATATATCAAAATTTATAGGTCACACGATCACAGATAAAGAAATGATTAATTTCATTGGTCACAGATTATTTTTCAGTCACATATTGTCAAATTTTTAGGTCACAGTTAAATACTTGGTCACATATAATCAAAATACTTGGTCACATACCACTGGCACTACCACTTCAGCCACAAAACCCCGTCGCCGCCATTACCACCACGGCCACCAACATCACCGCCAACAAACCCACCACCACCGCCTGTCTCCGATGACCGTTCCGATTCCGGTGATTTCTTCGGCGAGCGTTCTAATTTTGCCCGGAATACTCATCAAGTCAAAAAATGGCAAGTCGGTAGGCTTGGAGGGCACTGGCCTAAGCTTCCCATTCCACAAAACAAAACGAGGCGCATTTGGATCCCACAGCACCAATTCATTCTTCAGTCCACTATCTAACTGATTTCCGCCTCGACAATTATGCAGACCAAAATCGATTTGCTGTTCCTAGTAGATGAGACAAAGTGGCCGTGGCTGGACCCTCAGGAACTGAGCACTGGATTCCTCGCCTTCGGCGGATGCATTTGACCTTCACAGCCTATAGAAACAGAAATGTTTGTAATGAGAATGATTTGAGGTTGCAAGCTATGCACATTTTCCGGTATCCCCATCAGAAGTAGCATTACCAAGATATAAAAAAGTCACTGTCGTCTCCCAGGAAGACATCCAATTCTCTTCAGATCTGTTTCTGAGAGGTCACCTTCAAGAGCTTCAGATCTGTATAATTCTTCTTCAGATCTGCGCCGGAGATTCTCTTCGGAAGATAGGGCTTTAATACAACGAGGTGTTCAGAAGAAGCTAGGGTTTTTGAGGTGAGTGAGGTAGTTTTGAATGAATCTGGGGTTTCCGAGTTGAAAAACGAAGAAAACATATCTGGTGATGCTTATAGAAGAGCTTCGAAAAATCAGGCTATTTCTTCTATGCTGACTGATTCGCAGGCGGCGGCGGCGTCTGCCTTCGTCGTCGATTTTCGGAGATGAATAGGTCACAGGTTGCTGGAGATGAATGGGTCGCCGATGAGGGGAATGAGAGAAAATGGCAGAGAGACATCAATGAATTTAGGGTTTTTTTAGATGAAATTAATTGGGGTTTTTGATTGGGTAGGGTGGGAATAATATTTAATTTTTAAATCAATACCTGAATTTTGATTAAAAAATATTCTCACCTGATTATTGCCCCCTAATCTTTAAATACCCGATTTTTTATAATTTCGCTAAATCCCAACCCATTTTCTCATTCAATTACACACACACAACAGGGGAGAAACCGGCAGAGAAGAAAGAGACCCAAAAAAAAAGAAGAATAAAGGGGGAAAAAGAAAGGAAGAAAGGGAGAAAAAGGAAGAGGAAGGAAATGATAATGGGTAAGTGTTATTTTCCCTAATTTTAGGTCTAAATTATCCATTTCTTCATGAGATGAATGGAGTATATTATGTTAAATTTCTAGGGTTTTAATTGAGTGGTTTAATTTTTCAGATTAAGTTGAAGATATACCCTAGTTAGTTCAAGTTTTTGAGTGATTGTCATCCATTTACATCAAGGTAAGGAAATTTTATTTTGGGTAAACCCTAGAATTTA